CATACCTTTTAAAAATTCAGGAGAATGCATCTAACAAGCAGGAGAAAGAAACATTAAGCAAATAAAGAAAGACTGTAATGCATACAGTGGAAACCATCATAGATCACAACTATACAGGTCCAATCAAATCAAATACATTTGTGAAGGCATCATAAATTCCTTGAAGGTTTCCTTTGTGAGCCAGCGCCAGTATGTACATGGCTGAGTTCAGCATAGGCCTCAATGCTTATGTTTGAAAGATCTTATCTCTAAGAACCCAGAAGTGTGCAGCAAATTATTTGTTATAAATGAAATGGACCCAAATCCAGATGCGAATTATCTATACAGCATTCATCACCTGTTATTCAGATGCTGGCTCAATTCGCCAGAAAAATGGAAGGAGGAATAATGGATATATTCAAGACATTTTGATACAATTGAAGATACAAAATGTGTCTGGTCATGAAGTTGCTGTTGCATGGCAAGGAATTGTTGACGAAGCAGAAGATTTCAGAGAAGATAAAGGATATATAACCAGTCTCCTGAGGTATCAGTTCAAGGATCATTGGGATGGCTAACAGGCCAACAACATAAACCATTAGACCAAAGTGAACCATTTGAAATCACTTGTCGCTTTGATCATGATTGCCCTGTCAGAAACCCTGTCCATACAATCTGCTTCCCAGTGTTGGAGCTTGTGGAAGGGAGCTCACATTGCCAGTTAACCACATGAACACTGCAGAAACATTTCTAGATGTGTTTATCACAGCATATTGCAAAGGAAATGCATTTGGAATACATTGAAGACAGTTTTAGTTCACTATGATAGGTTTCACTAGATGCTTTGCCAGTGTTAATGTCAATTGTTCTATATATACTTCAAATTTGTTATGTTCAATTATTCTATCTTTACAATTTGCTTTGTTCAAAAATTCTATATATCTTTGAAAATTGTTATGTTCAATTATTCTAAACATCTTTAAAATTTGTCATGTTCAATTGTTCTATTTATCTTCAAAATTGTATGTTCAATTATTCTATATATCTTTACAATTTGCTTTGTTCAATAATTCTATTATATATATCTTTAAAATTGTTTATGTTAAAGCTGACCCTTACTTAACCTTAATTGAGAGAGAAAACAGAGTGAGCTATCCATAGTTAGATTAGGCTTTTTGGAGCCAGATCTTTCCCATATCAATTTGAATTGAAAGAATTATATCTGAAAGAAAAATCAAAATATAGGTTTTTAAATCAGGACACTGGAGAACACAATTCTAATGGAATCCAAAAAAGTCCTCGTTCATTATTACCTACACCAAAGCCTCTTTAAAGCACCAAGTGTAAATTTGGCTACTTTGTAGAAAATTTTTGGAAATCAACGCCTTTAATCCACCCCCCACCCCACCCCAAAAAAACAAATTCAACCACTACCGTTCCACTGCCTGGAGCCTTCTGACCACTTTACACATTTTAATTAAGATTATTCTTGAATTAGTCATGACCGACAAAACGTGTAAATTCCCCTGAAAATCTAATGAACGAATTCAAATCATTAATGATGAGTTTCCTCATCACAATACAAAACAAGAATGTAACAGAACAATGAATATGGTATTGAAACAAAAAACCGCTACGGGCTAAAGACTGTCCATTCTCAAAATCGCTGGTCTTGATTTCTGGAAACACAAATCATTAGCTTGAGCCGACCATTGCTCTGAATTATTCTTGAATTTGAGCGATTTTGAGCTAGAATACCTTATGACACTATATTCTTCTAAATTTTTTATCCTCTTTTGTAGATTTATCAACCCCCATTTCCCGTTACTCCCCCCCCCAACCCAAACAAGTTTCTTCTGGTCTCAGACAGAAAAAAATGGTCATTGGTTTATGAAGTTAATATTCTCGAAACGATTTTACATTGCTGAGTGTGCTTCCCTTTTGGCAGTCAATATATATTTTATTACTTTGATTGTATCTTTGTGGAAACTGTTTTTGTGTTTGTGGATGTGATCATTCGTCATTACCGCTGGTTGCAACATTCATAAGTTGATGGTAGCGATTTAATGCTTGTCTCCAGTCCCTTGGGTCTTCCATTGGCAAAAGGTTTGCCAAGTACTTAAAGTATTCTTGATAATCATTGGAGGATTCACCTTCAATAAGATGTTCTCTTGCATAAGATAGTTCATTTTCTGGGACGGGGAGGGCCAACTGCACCTGACCACCACGTTGCTCAGGCCAATAAAATAATGAATCGGGTCTACCTCGCACTGTATCAAAACGAGAAGCACGAATGTAATGGGTGTTCCAGTGCTCTTTTACAATATTCAGCTGCTGCTGCAGTAAGCTAGCAAAGCAGAACCATAAACATTCCTTTGCCATTTCATCTCCCAGATTTATTTCCCCAGAACCACACCGATCTTTGAAGAAATTTATCCACCATGTTGAATGACTTCTTCGAAAGAAAGACCACCACCCTTCGATTCGCTGGTTTCTTGGGGATGGCACATATTTGTGACTTTCAATGTCATTGCGAAAAAAAGACTGAATACCCGCCATAAGCCCATTTTCTGTTCCGAGGTCGGTAACAAGCTGAGCAGGACATCCGATTTCATCTACTGCTTCAAGAAAGTAGGCACCTATATTTTGAGGAAGATTATTTGACCTGGTTGTGTAAAGCCAAATTATTTTTCTACTCCAACCGTCGATACATCCATGGATAGGAAACCCATAGGGTTTTAATTTGTCATAGCCATCGCAGTGCCAAACGTCATTTGGACCAGCATTAGCATAGGCCCTTCTACGTAAGCGATGAGCTCTTCTCACTTCTATTCCTTCGGGATCGATTTCGCGCATCAAGTTCTCTACAATTGTCCTTGGAACGTAGATGCCTTTCATCCGTAAATGATGCCACATTGCACGATAGCCCCTAGATGAATCTGGTCCATCTCCTAACGATATCAAAGTGTTTTTAACCACGTCGATATTGTATCGACAGTTTCGTCTTGTCAGTCCAAGTAACGCCAGTCTTCTTCGCAATGTTCTTTCACTGATACTAACTCCATTCCTCCTTGAAAGCATGGCACATATCTCTCTATATTGAAACCCTTGGTTAAAATACCTTGCAACGAGCTCATTTTCATCTGAACTGTCTTCCATCATTGCTTAATAACCACATGGGAATTATCACAATGAACGAGAAATATGAAAGTTTGCCGTGAGAAATATGAAAGTTTGCCGTGAGAAATATGAAAGTTTGCCGTGAGAAATATGAAAGTTTGCCGTGAGAAATATGAAAGTTTGCCGTGAGAAATATGAAAGTTTGCCGTGAGAAATATGGAAGTGTGCCGTGAGTAATATGAAAAGTGCCGTGAGTAATATGAAAGTTTGCCGCGAGAAATATATATCTGTGCCGTGGAAATATATAACTGTGCCGTGTAAATATATATATTTGTGCCGTGAAAAAAGATTGTGCCGTGGCCGTTGTGGGCCACCGTAC